AACACAAGAGTACATACTACCTGGCTCAATTTTTAAGAAATTCTAGAACAGGAAAAGTTAATCTCCAGAAACAGAAAGTAGGTCAGTGGTAACCTAAGGCTGTGGAGAGATTGCAAAGGAAAATAGAACTTCTTCTGGTGAAGAAAACGTTCTGTTTCCTCGCCAGGCTGGTGCTTCCGTGGAGCACGCATTTGTAGAAGCTCCTTGAACCATGCAGTGAGAACGAGTACATTTTACTGTCTATAAATTATACCCCCATTAAGTAGATTAAAAGGAAAAAATCCAATGAAGGGGTGGACAAAAGTCACCACAGCAATTGCTCTCAGGTATTGGAATGTACACGGAGTTTCCAGGGTCCCATTTCTTTCCCTGTTTGGGACACATGTCGGGAGGCCAAGTGTTCATCTAAGTCAATGGCTTAGTGTATAAAATTCTAATTTTAAAATAAGGAGATCATAAAACAATATAAGAAGTGAATGAAAGTCTATAGGATAAATATTTTAAAGTCGAGTGATGACTTCTGGATATCATTGTGCTCTATGTGGTTAAGTCTGTTTAAGTCTATTTGAATCCTGAGTTGTCAAGGAGCTCAGAAAAATGTGCTGAGTACACAAGTGTGCCTTTTGGGAGGAGATGAATCAAATATGCTAAGTTTCTTATCAAATGTTTAAGGAAATGTGATTAATCAAATATGTAAACAGTGTCAAGTGCTCAGGAGCATTTAATCAGTCAGACTTCTAAGTTAATGGTTGAGCAAAGAACTGAAAACATAATTTCTCTTACTTTTGTACAAATTTTATTGTACTTATATTTTAGTAAGATGTTGAGCCTAGATTTAAGAAACATTTCTTATTTAAAAATTTACAGTCGGTAATGTGTCAATTTTAGTTTTGCTTCTGGTTTTCTTCTCTTCCCCCTATTTCTAGTTTACCCCCCGTCTTTCACCCTCCAATGTTAAGGTGAAATGACCCAGGGGCTTTTTTCTCCCAGCAATTCATTTCCACTGACGGCCTATCCTAGGTGTAAGGACAATAATCATCGAACCTAGAAAGCAGAGGCACTGAGCGCAATTTACATGAATAATGGCCTCTGCTGGCATTTAATTGAGTGTTTCTAGCCTATTTAATCTGATTAGGTAGGCAGGATTTTCATCAATTTACAGATAGAGAAACCAAGGTCATGAAGTCTGCACGTGGCAGAGCCAGGACTCAACTGTGTAGCTCCAAAGCAATCAGTGTCTGTAATTCCTCGCAGGTGAATTACACTCCGGCTGAAGCTATATAGACTCTCCTCCCTGGTTTGTCATTTCTTGGTGTGCTCAACCAATAATTTTGAAGTTCTATTCTTTTTCTTTCTGTATCCAGGGGACTGTTATGTAGTAATTGCGTGGATCTGTTGAACCCTCTGGTCAGTACTCATACTACTGATTCCTGTATGGTCAGAATCCAGGGTACTGGCGGGTTTTGTTGGTTTCCAGTGGAGGCATGGCTTTGGGGGAAAAAAAGGACCATCCGTCCTTGGTGAGGACCCATCTGATTCCTCTCTACTTTCCCTTTGACTCCTTCCAGACACTCAGCAAATGTCAGCTAATGAGTAAGAAATTAATTATTGGTTAAAAGACACAGATGAAGAATCTGCAGAGATATTAATTATTGGAAAAAGACACAGATGAAGAATCTGCAGAGATATTTGCAGCCCCTTCTGCGCCATGCGGCTCCTCGCAGGGGTTCATTTAGTGTTTACTGTAGAGAATGACACTTCCACTAGTTCCTTCAGCAAAGTAGTTATCAAACCTCAACCGGGTCTTTTAAGGACACGCAGTTTAATTCAGTATGGATTCACACACAGCCTCTCCTTTGAGGGCATCTGGGGTCGAGTAAATCAGGTGCACTAAACAGTGTTAGAGGACAGAAAGCGTTAACTGCTGATAGAAGATTGCCAGTCAAGGTTTTTGACTTTGAAGAAGTTGTGAAGACCAGGGAAGAAGTCCTTTACTCTTTGCACTGGTTTGTTTCTTTGGGTATCTTTTTTCATGTTCTCCTTAGCAATCTCACGGCCTCAAACTTTTCTTCTCTCTGGGTCAGTCCCAAACCTTTGTTCTGATTTGTCTCCCTACTTCCCCCTTCCTCCCAGACACCAGCTCTATTTAAATAATCCGCCAGCACTGCAGACTCCATGCATCAAAATCTTCACTCAGAATTCTCTGCCAGGTCTGTGCCTGACTTCTTGAGGATGGGAAGAGAAGGAAACATGCGCCAGGGCAATGAGAAGTAGGCAATTCATGGCATGTAGAGACAGGGAGACAAAGAAACAGTAAAGAACAGGATGGCACCCGATGACAGTCTCTGGGTTTTTGAAATGTGTTCTTGTACCCTCTCCCTCCATTTCCTGATTTCTGTCATGAAAGTACAGAATTTAATCTAGACTTTTCCTTTCTGATCTTGAACTATGAAAGGTTTCCAAGTCAAGGGGGAAAGCCTTTCACTTGATGTTCCCGTGGGAAGGAATTTAGATCCTCACTTCCATGAATACTGTCTGAACTCCTCTACGGGAGACTCGCACAATGCAGTAGTCATACCAGAAACACGGCAGGACCACTTAGCATAATACTGCCCAATGAGACTGGAATTTAAGAAAAAAGGAGGGAGGGCAGAGACTGATTATTACTAACATCTTTAGGAAGCTTTCCTCTCCCTATACATTACATCCTTTCTTTTCTATTAGCAACACAATGTAAGAAACCAGAGGAAACTAACACTCGGAATAATGGAATTAAGGGCATCAGGACATCTATCTAGTGGATGGGTAACTTAAAATACTCTGGGGGCTCATTCATCTCTTCAATACCTTTATCGGGGCCCCCAAAAGGAGAACAAGTGATGTGAGCATGGCAAACTGGCTAGCTATTCCAGAAAGTGGTTGCCCCATCCTTTCAGGCACAACTAAGACACATTTCCGAGAGATGGGCCATTCGACAAAGTTTTGTCCAAAGGAACACTCGTAAGGGATATGCAGGACTTTTGGGACCTCTTTTCCTGTGGGCTCCTCCAACAAAGACTACTCTGGAAACTGGAGACAGGCAGCCCCAAGATGGAAGAAGCCTGGGTCTCAGGATGACGGCAGTAAGCTGTCCACTGACCAGAAACATCCACACTGGGCTTTACGAGGGAGAAATAACCTTGGGAAAGTCCTATAATTGCCTGCCAGTTTCCTCATGTCAAGGACTATTAATGGTGCCTGACCACGAGTAAAAGCTCAATAAATATTAGCTTCTTTATTCGTAACAGTCCAAAACTCAGGGAAGCAGCAGAGGAAGTCCTAAGAGGGAAGTGTATCGTAACACAGGCCTACCTCAAGAAGCAAGAAAAATCTCAAATAAAAACCTAAACTTACACCTGAAGCAGCTAGAAAAAGAACAACGAACAAAGCCTAAAGCCGGCAGAAGGAAGGAAATGAAGCCTAGAGCAGAATCAAATGATCTAGAAACTAAAAGAAACCATACAACAGATCAGTGAAACCTGGAGCTGGTTCTTTGAAAAAATTGATAAAATTGACAAACCTCTAGCCAGACTCCTCCAAAAGAAAAGAGAAAGGACCCAAATAAAGAAGAGCACAAATAAGAGAGGAGAAATACAACAACCAATACTACAGATATACAAGGAAGAGAACATTATGGAAAACACCAATAAATCCGACAACTAGGAAGAAATGGATAGATTCCTGGAAACATATATATGACACCAAAACTGAAGCAGGAAGAAATAGAAAACTTGAATATTAGCCGTCATTATAACAGAAAACAAAGTTTACTTCTTAATTTCATTTTTTTGGGGGCGGGGGAGTGAAGCTTTGGAGGCGGGGCTGGGGGTGGGGAGTCAGTGGAAATCACGGGCATATCTGTCAGTTACAAAACACCACCTGGTTCTCTAGTATGTTTAAGTAGCACAACACTGTAATAGTAACTCAGAAAAAAATATTTTCTTCTGGATCCCAAGCATTACATTTTAGGACTGGTCTCTTGCTAAAACAAAAAGAATGTGATACCCCCTCTTTTCTCCCCTTGACATTGAGCATTTGGGGACATTTAAAAAAGTCCTGACAATCCACATCAATTCTGTGGTTTCAAACTGACACGGAATTTGTACAAAGAATACTTTGTGCTGTTACGATATTTAACTGATACAGTTTAACAATAGTAATAATCAACTTTTATTGATTTTACATAAATAGCTTATAGAATGCCTTTCCAAATCACGTTTTCCCAATATATTTATGTTACAATTCACAACATTTATGAAACTATTTGTTAGATCTTTTTGCAGAGAAAGTGGGGAAAAAGTGAAGGGAGAAGAGGGAAAATAAGATTTCAAAACTAATCTTCAGCGATTGGCCTAAATATTTGGCAATTACTTCCTTTTATAGGAAATTACAGATTGTAACTGAAACATATCAAAAGTGCAGTGCATCCATTTAATTTAAAAAGCAGTAGTGTCAAATATATTATTTGGGCATCAAATTTCCCCTTATAAATATATTCAGGTTCACATAGTTTTTATACTTATTAAATAATGGTTTAAAATAATAACCATCAAAATCTTTAAATAATCCCAGATCTGGATTAAATCATGGTAGTAGCAGTATTTTTTTTAAATTCTAATTTGTTTTTTTCATCAGTAAAATGTATTATTTTACAATGTCCTCAGAGAATAAGCTTCCTACACTGGAAGATGATAATCTTACTAAATCTGCTATTAACTAGGTCATATACGAGGCCACTAATAAGTTCTATCAGACATTTTTTTCACACTGATGTATCCACGTGTACAAAATACTAGTAGTCATTATTGTACCAACACTGAAGACTTAACCATTCCGGAAACAAGGAACCATGTTTATATTATTATTTCTTTGTTATGATGCTTAGTCTTGGTATTAACAAGCACAATGTATTTTTCTTAACGAATATCGGTGGATTTATTAAGGCAAAGGACATAACCTAGTCCTCTCAATAATTTATTCTCTATCCTTATAAAAATTGTTGTTGAGGCTATACAAGTTACAGATATGCTGGCTACAGAGACATGACCTGTCCTGGAGACCAACACCTAGTATGGTAAGCATGAGGTTAAAATTTCGGTGTTCACAGCATTCCTTCTTTGATCTGCCATCACGATCATTCCTCAGCAGTACCCTCAAATACCATTGACTTGCTATGTCTCTTGGTTTTATGTATGTAGATTAATTTTCCTTATTAAAAATATTTCACAACCGTTAACAATAGGACAACAATCTACTCAGTCTTTGTAAACTCTTCACTGAATAATTTTTCATTTTTACAACCGTTTTCTGCGTGGCTGTTGTGCTTTTCTTCTGTCATCTTCTTCACATAACTAAGTGGTCCCTTCCCTTCAAAGGAGGAAGGATTTTTGAAGGAGCCTCCAATTCTATCCCACAAGGTGAAATACTGTCCGTAGTTGTAGTCAAAGAACATGTGGTGGTCTGTATGATGGGCTGAGCCATTAATAAATGGCCTTAAGATTTGGGGGACACGGAAGTCGCCATCATGAATGGAAATCGTCCAGATATTCACCAAGATGTACAAACTTAAGTAAACCACCTTGTGTAACGGGAAGATAAAAGGGTATATATGGTAAGGTAGACTCTGAAGGAAGCCATCCACAGGGTGAAAAGCATGGCTTGCAAATGGAGTCGGAATCTTCCAGAGATGATGAGGTTTGTGTATGCGCTACAGAAGGAAAGAACACAGTTAAGAACCACCTTTACTTTTCAACTTAGCTCTTTATGCTCACATTGTGGAAATGACCTAACTAAAAAAAATTCTCTTTAAATCCCCAAATCACTTGATAAAATACACCCTGTTACCTGAACACAGTAACATTTTAACACAGCCTGTCCAGACCCGTAAAGAACACAAACAAAATGCACCTGGTTTCTGTCTTGACTGTGGCCACTCAGTTATTCAAAAAGTTAGAGGGAATTCTTAGAAATATAAAACAGAATTTGGGGCACCTGGCTGACTCAGTCAGTTAAATCTCTGCTTCAGCTCAGGTCATGATCTCGGGGCCCTGGGGCTGAGCCCCGCATCGGACTCCCTGCTCAGTGGGGGAGTCTGCTTCTCCCTGTGCCCGCCCCCCTGCTTGTGCACGTGCTCTCGCTCGCTCTCTCAGATAAAATCTTAAACTAGAAAACAGAATTTGTAACCATACACTGCTGAAATGTATATATATATTTTCTCTTCCCCTTAAAAATGACTCTACCTGGGGCACCTGGGTGGCTCAGTGGGTTAAAGCCTCTGCCTTCGGCTCTGGTCGTGATCCTGGGGTCCTGGGATCGAGCCCCGCATCGGGCTCTCTGCTCAGCAGGGAGCCTGCTTCCCTCTCTCTCTCTGCCTGTCTCTCTGCCTACTTGTGATCTCTGTCTGTCAAATAAATAAATAAAATCTTAAAAGAAAAATGACTCTACCTTATACACAAGTCTATGATGAAGGCCTCTGTGAATCCAGTAGATCAGCATGTCGGTGAAAAAGAGGAAGGACATTACACTAACGATGAGGCGAAACCAGCCTAGAAGAGATGACAGGGTATGTCAGAATCAAGATCCAGCTTCCAGGACCAGAGTTTACTTGGTACTTGTCCATCTAAGCGCACAAAATGGGAGCCTAGACTCAAACACTATAAACCGTTTGGGCTAATGTGATACACTATAAATTAATCTCCCTTAACTGTCTGGTATCTGTTGCTTTCCTCATTTCCCTCCCATAAAAACTTGAAGTTAAACTATGAAGGCAGTTATGAGACAGACAAAGCATACACTTAAGGCATCTTTATTATTTAAATCTCCGAGCGTAAGTAACACCACTTATTTTTCCTTCATATTTATTAGTCTTTGTAAAACATATCCTTACATACTATCTTCCTGCTTAGGATTTTATTTTCCACTAAACAGCTCAAGCCTAGCTTTTACTCCTTAACCCAACACGTTCTGATCTTTCCAGCCTCCTCTGTTCCTGTACTGAGCAGGCTGGTTTACTCAATGTCCTCCCCACATCTTGGAAGTCTTAACCTCTGTACCTTGACTTATTCTGTTCTGGGTTCCTAGAACACGATTTCTCTTTTCATTATTTTTACTCAAAATCCTATCCACTTTTCGAGGCCTAGCCATTTTTGTTCCTTCCTTTAAATATCTGACCTCTTCCTTGGACAACAGGTGTGCTGGTGCCAGCAAGCCTGGGTTCCAGTCCTAGAGCTGCCACTTATTTGCTGAATGACCTGGGCAAGTTATGGTCCGTTGATTTACTCACCTATAAAAGGAACCTAACAAGACCCATGTCATAGAACTGATGTGGAATGGAACAGATTGATATGTGTGAAAAGCTTAGAACTGTAGCTGGTACATATTAACATTCAAGAAATACTAACTACAATTCTTACTTTCTAATATTTAGATACTAGAGATGGGTCTTCATTGAATAATTTCAGAATTTCACAAAAACTTAACTTAGGCACTACAGGACTATCTGTAATAGCAAAAAAAAAAAAAGACTAATGTAAAGATCTAAAAATTTGGGGATCAATTAAATAAACTATGGGTATCTACAAATTGTGATACTATAACTAATATACTATATAATGTCAATATTTACTGACATGAAAATATGGGCATTTACACTACTAAGAAAAAAAAAATCAAAGTCCAAACCAGTTTGTATGGTAGGGTTTCATTTTTGTAACATAAATAATGGAGTAGACAGGCATATATGTCAAAAGAGGTAGTTTCTAGGTAGCACGTTAGCGGATTTTAACACTCTGACTTTTCTGATTTTTTTCTAATTATCATGTATTACTTGAGGGTTTTTTGTTTGAGTCTGAATTCAGTAAAGAGAATAGTGAATGAATGCAAAGGTCTCTCTCTGATCATACTCAGCTTCCCTGGGCCCAATTCCACCTATCACCAAGACTTTAAAATTGATAGATTAGGAAATGAATGTATGTGGCAAGGCACAATACATAAAAACAGAGCATTAAAAACAATTAAACAACTTTTTTTTTTTTTTCGAAGAAGAAGACTGGTTCTTTAGAGAAACCACTGTCTGACTTTCATATTATATACTTACCACTGGGAAACTCTCCTATGTCATCATATAATTTGCTGTAACCTCTCAACTCTAGCAGGAACAGTGACACCGTGGGAATACTAATCCATGGCAATGACTGGACAGTAAATATGATCTCTCTATAGACTTGATTCTGAAAATGAAATGGCCAGTACTTAAAAATCACAAAATCTATGTTAAAGAAAAACCAGCACAATATTGTCTTGGGTTGGATTTTTACAATCTCTTTTATTTGAAGAGGCTCGTCACCAAACTGTTTCCGTGAAAATGATAACATGTGGGAATGTATGTGTAAGGAAAACATTCCTTTTGTAAAGAGCAAATGTAATAAATACTTTAAGTTCTGAAACTTTCTCTCGTTCCCACAAAATTGGATGCTACATTTCCATTTATGGAATAATCCTTTCTTTCACAAATAACGTCCATCCCCAACCCTCTTGATTTTCTCTTTTTTTTTTTTTTTTTCCAGTCCTTGGAGTCACTGATAAATACAAGTAACTGGAAGAGAAAAAAAATGCCTGTAAACAAATCTACAATCTCCCAGCTAGTCGAAAAATAGATATGTAATAAAAACGTGTTTCAGTTTGAGAGTCAGATATTAAAACAATTACACAAATGTGTGCATTTATTGATTCCTCATTATTAGCAAAGAAATTCATTCCTATGTATCCAGGAAGACACCAGGCTTATAATTAAAACAACAACAACAAAGTTGGATTCATTTATTTGTTTAAGAGAAGGAGAGAGGGGATTAGCCCTACCAAAAATATCTAACGTATCTGAGGCTAGCTGCAAAAATTTTATTTAATGGTTATAACCCAGTTTAATCTGAAAAGCTCACAGATACCTATTATTTTTACTATAACCGTAGCTAAAAAGTAGGTAAGACAATCACTTACCTTTAAAAATTGTGGATGCTTCATTAATGCATGATCATAGACAAAATAATAGCTCAGTGTTGCAAAGAAGAAATAAAGGATATAAGCTCCAAGATTTGTTACAATCAGGAGACTAATAGTTTGTCGGAAGATGTTATCCTCAGGCCATGAGGCTGGATAGATGTACGGTGTAAAAAAATAATAATCTGCAGCATCGAGTACAAGATCCATCTTAACCCCTAAAGGATAAACAGGTGCAACAATTATTTACCCATGCTGATAGTTCTCCATGCAAAAAAAACTTCTGGAAAAATTGTACATGAAGTTCCTGCTTTAATAAGCACTTACAGTGTAAGACTGCAGCTACCAGAATCCCTGAAATGCCATCTTTAGAGCCCAAAGGAACTTACATGTCATCTCTAGCCCAATCTCTTCATATTATACACGGGGACAGCAAAGCTCAGAGAAACTGAGACCCAGAGTTTTTTTTTTTTTTTTTTTTTTCTCTAACATCTGCTGATTGGGGGCGTCCATGCAGATCTAATGCCATCTTTGTGTTCTTTTCCAACAACTCCTATGGCAATGTGGCAAGTAGTAAAGACGGGGAATGCAGGAAAGTGGGTACTCAGATGTTTCCTCCTCTGGCTACGAGTTTCAGTGATACGTCTCTTCTAAAAGGACTCCGATTTCAGAGGATTTTCCTTCAGTGCTGAGACTCAAAGACAAATTTGCTAGATGGATCTATGCTGCCACCTCAGGGACTATCTGTTCTTGTGACAGAAGGAAAGGCCACTCCCATTGACAGAAGAAAAGGAGACAGGTTCTAGATTAAGAACTAGAATACACTAATTCCTCTTCCCCCAGTCAATTCTCTAGATCGGGGGCTGGCAACTGCAAACTTGTAACTCAAAGTTCGAGGAGGAGAAGGCACAAAAGAGTTGTCTGGAAATAATTTAAATTTTTCAGTTGTCTTCCGTTCAGCCTGCCTGGAGCTTGGATCACCCGTATGTGTTAGTGAATTAGCCTGAAGGTTTCTGCCCAGGTATTTTGAGACTCATTCAAACACAGTGGGTGTGACTATATACGGAGACACCATTTCTTTGCTATGACTTAACGAACACCCTACAGTTGGATGATACTCTCTGCTGGTAAGGCTGCAGGGAAAAGGACATGATCCTACCCTGCTATGGGCTCGCAGTGGCGCAGCTCCTAGGTGGAGCGATTTAACAATATGTCAGCACAGGACTCCACCACCCCTGTGCGTTTGTGCTACACTCGGGCTGTCATCTGGTATTATCTTAGCTAATTCATTGGGGTCTGTTTAGCTGTTTCAGGATCAGTTTCGTTTTTCACTACAGAAGCCTCCTAAATTTCTGAACCTTCCCTTCTTAATACTAACATTTGCCTTCAGCACAGCAGTTCCTCAGGACGTGTCCTAGCTTGTTTCACGATCAATGAAGCAATCGGTGGCGTTTATTTACGTTCTTATGATCAAATCCACTTAATCAAAAGGTGGTTAGGATGTTCACTTTCTCTCCTGGGCTGTGGTTTCCTGTTTTTCATTAGTTCTTAACGCCTCCCCACTGGGGTAAAACTCCAGCAATCTGTTTTTCCAGTCTCTAAGTCACATGTGTCGATAATGCCCACGCTGGCCTCTTCAGTAGGAGGCCTCACAGACACCAGGTGCAAGCTCCTACAAGAATTTCATGTCTGTGCTATTCCTAATGACGGATGCTTCCATTCATTGTGTTATTCACATGGGTTATCTTTATTTAAAAACAATATTTCCATCTGCAATTAAACCCAAAGTAATAAAACAGTCCCAGCAAAGAGCAGAGGTAGGGGTATGTGACAGGGGCACCAACACACAGGGGGCACCTCAGTCCGCTGGAGGAAGCCTGTGCCGTCAAATGAGTTTGAGTGCCAGTTTTTAAAAAAACAAAATAAAGCCCTGGTTTTTCAGACCTTGAAACTGTGGCCAAGGGACTGTGGACACGTGTTCCTTTGTGTGACCTCACTGCTGTTTATTTAACTCTTGAATAAGTATTTGGATAGATTCTTACCTTATGCTATTTAAAATAACGCAACAGGGGCGCCTGGGTGGCTCAGTGGGTTAAGCCTCTGCCTTTGGCTTGGGTCATGGTCTCGGGGTCGTGGGATCGAGCCCCACATCGGGCTCTCTGCTCAGCAGGGCGCATGCTTCCCCCTCTCTCTCTGCCTGCCTCTCTGCCTACTTGTGATCCTGTCAAATAACTAAATAAATCTTAAAAAATAAATAAATAAAATAACGCAACAATGATTAACCCAATATTGTGTGAACTTCTACAAGCGGAAGAGCTAGGACAAGGATGAACGGGCTCGGTGACGTTGGTAGATATGGCTAAGTTGGTCTGCATAGGAGCCGTGCCACTGTGTGAGCCCACAGCTGTGTAGGATCGTGCCCATTTCCTGACACCCTTACAGACAAAGAATATCAGCAAATTGTAGGAAATCTGTTATCTGATAGCCAAGAAATGATTATCTTGGTATAGATTTCTTTTTCTTATTATGAGTGAGGTTGAACAGCATTCTATATATTTAGAGTAATTTCTATTTTTTCTGTGCAATTCTGTTTTTACCCTTTGCCCATTTTCCCACTGGGTTTTTAGTTTCTTAAAATCAAATTCTAGAAGTTCTTTATTTACTGAGAGTGTTTATCCTTATTTATGATATGAGTTGCAAGCATTTTTTTTTTTCTCACTTTGTCATGGAAAGTTTTCTTTTAAAATTTTTTTTTTAAAAAGATTTTAGTTATTGATTTGATAGAGAGAGACACAGCGAGAGAGGGAACACAAGCAGGGAGGGTGGGAGAGGGAGAAGCAGGCTCCCAGTCGAGCAGGGAGCCCAATATGGGACTCGATCCCAGGACTCTGGGATCATGACCTGAGCCGAAGGCAGATGCTTAACGAATGAGTCACCCAGGTGCCCCTTAAAAGAGTTTTTTATTTATTCATTTGAGAGAAGGAGAGAGAGAAAACAAGCAGGGGGTAGGGTCAGAGGGAGAGGGAGAAGCAGACTCCCAGCTGAGGAGGAACTCTGACCCAGGGCTTGATCCCAAGATCCTAGGATCGTGGACTGAGCTGAAGGCAGTCAACTTGATACACTTAACTGACTGAGCCATCCAGGCATCCCTGTCATGGCAAGTTTTAATTAATTAATGTTAAACACCAGATATTGACACATATCCTTCATCACACATTGTTAATTCATTCAAATAACAAGTATGAAGCACTACACTAGGTAATGAGCATACAAATATTGAAAAGATACAGTCTAAATCCATCTGAAAGGTGAGGCAACTATGGAAACAAACAATTACATCAATAATAATGCTATAATAAAGGTATATACACAAATTCTACATAATTAAAAAACACAACTATCCCAGCTTATAGTAGAAGGCTTCACAGTGACATTTTATTCAGGCTTTAAAGGACATTATCAGAAATAAAAGATTAGGGATGGCTAGTTCAAATAGAAATAACAACTTGCACGGTGCCTGGGTGGCTCAGTTGGTTCAGTGTCTAACTCTTGGTTTCGGCCCCATTCATGATCCCTTGGGTTATGCAATGGAGCCTCAAGTCAGGCTCCGTGCTCAGCAGGGAGTCCACTGGAAGATTCTCCCCCTCTGACCCCCCCCCAATAAATACATAGATAAATCTTAAACAAACAACTGGCGAAGGCATAGAAAAAAGTCATGGTATATTCATGACTCACTGGGTGTCACTGGTGGGTGCCAAACAGTAAGACAGGGGTGAAAGAGAGGGGGGAAACTGTTCCAGGATAAACCTGGTAAAAGGAAATTCGTGTCAGGCTGTTCAAAGCTCTGTTGCCTTGCTAGGGAATATGACTTTCCCTCATACACAATGGGGAGATACTAAAGGTTTCTGAGCAGGAAAGAGGTTCTAATCAGATCCATATTTCATAGAAACCACTCCATTAGGAATATGTGTACCGATGAGAAGCAGAGAGAGAGAGAGAGAGAGAGAGAGAGACTAATTTGGCTGGTCCTCTGGTAGACTAACTAGCTTAGCAGCTCTGAGAACACACATGCACGTACACTGGAGATTTAGCAAGTAAAAAATCCACAGAGCTTGATGACCAATTAAATGCTGGAATGTGAACAAGGGAGAAATCTAGGATGACTGTGAGATTTTAGCTGGCCTGAGTGGACGGTGATGTCATCATAATCAAGAGGGAATGCTGGGAGAGCTGGCAGATTTGGTGCCACAGGGACAGGGTGCATAAGCAATGAGGGGTTCAGTTTGGGTCTTAAATTAGCTTTAAGTCTATGCTTACTCTTAGACATAAGCACTGGACTACATAGAAATATGAACCTGAGGTTCAAAAGTGAGCTTGTAGTAGTTGAAATGGACGCCATAAGGGGTAGAGACAGCCAACAGAGATCATGTGGCAAAGAAACTACACAAAGTAATAGCAGGAAACAAACATTTTGAAACAACCCAACAATTGAGAAAGATTTTGTGACACCACTAAAGGTTGGTTAAGAGTTTACAGACTAATCTGGATGTTACCTACAGTGTTGCTTAGCCCTAAATCAGTATAGTACAGCCCAAACCAACTCAAACATTAACTAAGACTCTTCTTTATTCAATCTTTAATATCAGATGCAAATAATTATCTTCAAAAGGTCTCAGTCCTTTAAAAAACTCCTTAGTTTTACTTTTATCTGAAGACCACGCTAATTGTGTTCATTTGTATATTCCCTGGTCACAATTGCTGTTACAGTAAACCAGTGCCTGGAAGGGAGGAAGAAACGTGCCTCAGTCTTTCTAGAGGCAGTTTAGATACTGGGAAATAAAACCTGTTTTAAGTGCTTTTAGAATTTTGGTTTCAATTCTCTTTGTTGAATGCAGTAATTAAATATTCATAAGTGTACCACTATACTTTCTGACATCTAACACAAAATCTTCCGAAATCAGTAACAATATGACCTCAAAATTGCAAATCAAATTTGAAGTTTAGTGACCTCGTGGTGCAATGGTAGCGCGTCTGACTCCAAATTTGAAGTCTATAGGCAGACCCACATCTGTAAAATGGAGATAACATATTTCCATTGTAGAACTGTTGTTAAGGTTTAGAGGCTAAGGCCCTAGTGTTTTGTCACCAACTGACACAAAAGTTAGTCAAATAGGAGCTACTATTACTGCTGTTAGGGGGCTGAAGCGGAATCAAAATTACTTTAACCTAAGGGAGAAAAAGGTGTCATTTGGCTTTTCCTTTAAAAATAATGGATGATATCTAATATCAATATTTACTCTACACTTGGTACCATAAATATTATGTCCTTTAACACTTTCAAGAAACCCTAAGGGTTTGGCACTAGTGTTACAGGTAGTAGTATTATGGATGAAGAAGCGGGGCACAGGAAATTCAAGTAATCTGGGGCACCTGGGTGGCTCAGCCGGTTAAGCGTCTGCCTTTAGCTTAGGTCATGCATCCCAGAGTCCCAGGCTTGAGACCCACGTTGGGCCCCCAGCTCAGCAGGAAGTTTGCTTTTCCCTCTGCCCATCACCCTGCTCATGCTCGCGCGTGCACTCACTCTCTCTCTCTCTTTCTTTCTCAAATAAATAAATAAAATCTTTATAAAAATTCAAGTAATCTGCTTGGGATCATCAAATAAACAAATGTTGGGGCTGGAACTCAAACACTTGCAATTGGGTTACAAAATCCCAAGTTTGTTGGTTTTTTAAGATTTTATTTATTTACTTATTTGACAGGGAGACAGACAGACACACACACATACACACACACACAGGCAGGGGGAGCAGCAGGCAGAGAGGGAGAAGCAGACTCTCGGCTGAGCAGGGAGCCTGATGTGGGGCTTGATCCAAGCACCCTGGGATCATGACCTGAGCTAAAGGTGGATGCTTAACCAGCTAAGCCACCCAAGCGCCCCTCAAAGTCCCAAGTTCTTAAACCAAGACGTGAACCAAGTTCGAATGCCTCTTCATCACGATCTCAACTCTTCAGCTCCTTATTTTTTTAAATTCTCAGTGACTACCAACTCACAAAATTTTGCATATAATTTTAAGGTGATTTTACCCCCTATGTCCGGGGCTCCACAGACCCTAAGTTAAATATCCCTGACTGAAACAGATGCTTGTATTATTTTACCTTCACAGAAACAAAGAAAACTTTTTTTTATAAAGTACAGTTATTAATAAAACACAATTAGGCTAGAACGACTGGGTCTACTATTACTTTGGCTTTACTTTAAAAATATAGATCATGGGCTGCCTGGGTGGCTCAGTGGGTTAAGCCTTCTGCCTTCAGCTCAGGTCATGATCTCAGGGTCCTGGGATCAAGTCCCGCATCGGGCTCTCTGCTAGGCAGGGAGCATGCTTCCTCCTCCCTCCCTCTCTCTCTCTCTCTCCCCCTCTCTGCCTACTTGTGATCTCTCTCTCTGTCAAATAAATAAAATCTTTAATAAAAAAATATATAGATCATAATTGTTAACATTTGTTGAGAAACAGGTGTTATGTAAAAGCATTTTTTATGAATCACCTTGCTTAATTCTCATAACCCTACCAGGCAGGTACTTCCATAACTCCTACTTTATAAAAAAGGGAAACGGAGGGCAGGAGTATTTAAGTAATTTGTCAAGTACCAAGTAACAAATGGGAGGTATATTCCAGAGTCTGCTCTCTCAGCTTCTACATTCTTATCTCTCAACCTGTATGCAAACACAGAGGGAATTCTGAGATCTCATGCTAATTACCTTACATAATGATAGGAAAAGCATTCTGTGAGTGATCAAGAATCATGTATTCATCATTTTTTAGATGCTTATCATTATAAACCTAAACACACGCACACACAACGACGGTGACATAAAGACAGGTAACCTGCTGGAAGGTTTTGGTTAAAAATACCTGGCTACCACGAGCTTTCCAGACTGGAAACTTCTTTTCCTAGTGATATTTGGAACTTCACCTATCCTACCACCTCCAAATCCACTCTGCTATAACATACGGATGCCGGTAGACACAATGTTTTCCTTTTACGATGCTAACGTAACAGATCATTTCCCTTCCCTCTTAGTCTTGTCAAACCGTCGATTGTTGTCTCCCTCCATCCAGTAACTGGGGTTTGCTCTGTAATGGTCAGGAGGTCACAGCCTAATTTCTTTGCCCCTTTAAAAACGAAAGATTCCCTCCAACCCAGAGGGATATCTGTCTCGAAGTAAAGCATTAGTGTTGGCTGCACAGACTCCCTCGGATGAGCGCTCCGCAACATCAGGCATTTCGTTTCCTGCGCGCCTATCTCTGTGCCTGTTTCTTTCACGTGCGGGCCTCCTCGGCGCCCCGGAACCACCTCTGGCTGGACAGAGCCCCCACACCCCCGGTCTCCAGGCCAGCGGTGTCCCCTGCACCCCGCACTCGACGCATCACGGCCCGCGTCGGCTTCCGGGATGCCCGGCTGCCTGCCAGTCCCTGGTGCGGATCACCGCGGAGAGCCTGACACTCAGGCGGGGTCCCACCCACGCCTGCGCCTAGCGGGAGAAGAAAGGGCCGGCCGCACAACTTCCCCACCTGGGCCGCGTCGTGCTGATGGCTCCCCATCCAATTTCCTCCCCCTTCCCCGCCCGTGCGGCTCAGGTGTATCTCGCCTCCTCCTCCCGCCCTCCCGTTATCCCTACCTCCAGAGAGTCCGTGGCCAGCTCGGCCTCCGCAAAGTCCTAGGCGGCCCGAGCCACTGGGCTGCCGGCGGCGATCAGCCAGCGGGTAAGGCCTGGAGGGGCGTAGCCAGGCACACGCTCCTAGCGGCGGGCGCCGCCAGCCAATCAGGGGCCGGCGGCATAAGCTGATATGACGGCAGATCGCGCGACTTGGCTGCGCGCGGCTCTCAGTGGTCACGTGGGCGCCGCGCGCTTGGCCACGCCCCCTCCGTCCTCCGGTTGGAAGCGAGGGCGGGACGCTGGTTCAGGTACCCAAGCCGCGGAGGATGGAGTTTCAGGTTTTGGTTTTGTTTGCTTTTCAGCTGCCACTTCGGGTGTAGCTGAGTCTTGCACGAAGCAGATTGACTGTGTTTATGCAGACATTCCTAAAACCGATGCCCTACCTTGAGGGAAATAGGTATTTTCCTTTGAGTTGAATGTCGGAGGCATTTCCCCACTTACATTGAAGGAAGTTCAGTACCTGGGAGACAATGACTAATATTTCCCAATCGGAGTGTGTGGTTTTGTTTTGTTTTGTTTTGTTTGTTTTTGTGGTGGTTTGCGGTGGTCACGCTTGTAAATCGAATTTCTGGGAGTCTCAGTGTAGGGCTTCTCTGGCCAACCGGCCGTCTTGGCATCCTCTGGGAGTTGCTTGGAAAGACGGATTCTCGGGAGTCGCTCAGACCTTCTGGATCAGAACGTGCCGGAGGGTTCCAGAAATCTGTATTTTAACAAACCCCAAGTGAGTCTAAGGTTTGTTGAAGTTAGAAAACCGCTGCTGTAATGAATTTGATCAGTCGGGAGAAAATGTCCTTCCGTGTTGCTCCCTCGTGAGTGATCAGTAGAAGAAAACGCTGAAAAGTGATAATGCTGTTAACTAAGTTTGGGAAAGACCCATTTCTGTTTCCTTACAGGAGCATCAGAAGTGCTACCAGGTAAGGGGAGGAATGAATTAGATTCCATAAAAACCTTTTATATGAATATTGTTTTAAATACCTGTGGCTTGCCTCCTATTTTCTTTCTTTCTTTCTCCTTCTTCTTCCTCCTCCTCCTCCTCTTCTTCTTCTTCTTCTCCTTTTTTAGTGGGCCTGTAACAGTATTAGTTTCAGGTGTACACCGTAATGACTTGATAATGGTATATTCGTTTCAGGTGTACAACCTCAAGACGAGAAATTGGCTCCTACTTTCCAAATCACATTTCTTGTTTCCTTTGTCATTCTCATTTAACCCTTTAATGTTTGAGATTAAGATTTTTATGTATCATTTCTGAGAAACATAAAAATGTGGTTTGTTAACCTTGAAAATAAAACAGCCAGTTATTTTGCCAGCAAAAAAGGGGTTTATTTGGGAATAGTAGAAGATTGCAATTTAGGGCAAGCAAGCTATGGCAAACTCACAGGCAAATCCACAGGGGAAAAAAAAGAAACTCTATAGAGAAAAAGGGGAGGTCGGGAAGGCTGTTGTAAATAAAAGTCCATTGGAATAAACTGGGAGTTGGAAGTAGAATGGCTTTTCGTTGGCTTTGTTGTGACGGTCTTTCATTGGCTGGGTTGTTGCTAGGGCAGAGGGAAACCTTCCTCTTACCAGGGTAGTAAATTAACAGCAAAAGTAAATGGACTTGCAAGGTTAGGCTCTTCCTTGTGGGGTCTGCAGTTGACTAGGAGTGAAAGGGTGTACGAGCTCCCCCTGCTGGCCACTCAAGTCCCTTTTAGTGAGATTTCCTTTTATTCTCACAGATTTAAAAGGTATAATTTATCTAGTACAGAGGTTCCACATTTGTGGCTGCTGTGGACTTGCTTATGTGGTTTGTTTAGTTCGAAAGTATATTTTTCCCTTGAATTAAGTAATTTCGCATTTTAGAAAAATGACCTATTGTGAAAGATTGGGAAATCTGACATTGAAATTATAAGCAAACCTCCAATATAATACCTGAATAGCTAGAATTTTATCATTGAATATGTACAGGATTGTGCACCACCACCAGATGGTGATACATGCTATGAAGAAAACAAAAGGGTGAAAGGATCAAAACTGATGATGGCTGTTTTATTAGACAGCATGGTTACAGTACCTTTCTCTGTGTGGGGAGCATTTGACCAGAATGGAGTAAGGGAGCCTCATTCACTTGGTAGATTCTAAACCGAGATTTAGAGTCTGAGTGTTTTTGATGAGCTGATGGGGCCACAGGCTCGCAAGCATCTATTTGTATGACTTTAGTTTTTAGATAGAAAAGAGTATTCAGGGAGAACCTGGGTGGCTCAGTTGGTTAAGTGACTGCCTTCTGCTCAGGTCATGACCTTGGATTCCGGGGATCGAGTCCCACACTGGGCTCCCTGCCCCACAGGGAGTCTGCTTCTCCTGCTGACCTGTCTCCTCTCATGTTCTCTCTCATTCTCTCTCTCTCTCTAAAATAAATAAATAAAATGTTAAAAAAAGAAAAGCATATTCAAGAAAAAGGTAGGTGCACAAGCATCCAAAAACAGATACAGGAAGAGAAGATATTTATTCCTCAACCTGGTGCCATGGATTAGGTTAAAACTTAATAAGTAGCTACTTAATATTTTAGGGATCAGAGATCCCTCTGAAAATTAAATGAAATCTATCATCTCTGTCCCCCCAAAAGTACACATTGCATACAGTAGAAGCTCTTCCCAACCAGAGTCCACTTAACTAATGTTCTCAATAGCCTTTCTGAAATATGCCAGCCGATCTTTGGAAAATACTAAAGACTCACAGCTTGTAGCCTTCACTTTGGTTCACTCCTGTGTATCTCCTTCCACCAGTGGAGTGGGATGCTTAACAAGAGCCAGTTATGCTACCAATCTATCGATTTCTGTTACACTCCTCATAATTACACAATTACATTTTACAAATTGGTAAAATTTGAGTCTGCAAAGAAAAATAATTTGGGTTTTTTTTAAAGATTGATTGATTGATTTGAGAGAGGGCGAGCGAGCGTGCAAGAGCCTGGGCACACAAGCAGAGCCTAGGCAGAGAGAGGGAGAATCTGAAGAAAACTCTGTGGGGAGTGTGGAGCCCATCGTGGGGCTCGATCTCATGACCCCAAGATCACAACCTGTGCTTGGGGCTTACCCCCACCCAGGCACCCCAAGACTTATTTCTATGAAAACCAAGAACGTTTTGGAAAGACAGCATAAATATGACTGCTAATATAAATAGCTATTGAATTGGGTGTAGGCAAGGTGGTTATGAGAGACTAGAAAGACTTTTTCAAGCCCCAAATCTGGCAGGATTCTGCCTTCAATTTGATCTGCAAGAGTTAACTTGTCTCCACTGCAAACAAATTAAAGTTGAAAATAAATACAAAACTCTGGGCCTATAGTTTAGGCAATAGACAGCCTAGAGCTCCAATCAGAGGGACCGTACTCAAAAGAAAGACCTTAGGGAATGACTGGAGAATAAATATTTAGGTAAAAATAAAATTCTTAAAGCATACGTATATATAATATTGATGAGGCTGTAGGTCATGTGATAGACACCCAAAATAACAGAGGTTTACTCCAAAGAAAAGGTTTTCTTTCCCATGAAAGTGTTAATTAATGTACTTGTCTGTGGTAACAAGCCCCCGAATTACAATGACCCCAACACAGTAGAAATTTAGCTTTCACTCAAAAAACAGTTCAAATGGATGATCCTGGTCATTGGGTAGCCCTCCTCTAAATGGGATCCAAGTTTTTCCATCTTGTAATTCTGCCATTGTCATAACTTTCTGTGTCTTCTCTATAGAAATTGCCAAGAGGGAATGGAACGTGCATACCCACTCTTTGAAAGCCTTGCTCTGAAAATTCCATACATCCTCTCTGACATTCTCATGGTTACACCTCGGTTACGTGGCTCCATCTAACTATTAGGGAGGCCGAGAAATGTAGCCTTCATTCTGGTAGTCTGTCTGTTCAGCTAAAATCAGAGTTTCTAGGGGCGCCTGCCCTTCAGCTCTGGTCACGAACACATGGATTCTGGGATCGAGCCCTGAGTGGAACACACACTGACTGCAGACCAGTAAGGACCCGAAAGCATGCTCTGTCATTTTAAGCAATCGAGTCTATTTTCATCAAAGATGCAAGTGTGTATTTATTTAAAAATAAATACTATACAAGAGCTTATAAAGGAAAAAAAAGGCGTGTCCACGTCCTAATTCTGCTCTGCGCAGGTAATTATTCTTTACAATTCCGGCTGTATATTATGCCATGTACCCATATATTCACACAAACATTAGTCATGCTTGCTGTGCCATTTAGGGATATCTCTCTCTCTCACTTTGGAGCCTTAGGATTAGGACTCTGGGCTAGAAACAGTGCTTTTACAGAAAGCTGCCATGTGACTCCTGTTAAAAACCAAAATTCAACTGAGTAGATCTGAAGATCTATTTGGCTTTATTTAACCACTCATGAATCGGGCAGCATCCCATCTAGCAAGTAGAGAGTAGCTCCAAGGAGGTATACAAAATGGAAGGTTTTATAGGCAGGAGGAGGGTGAGACAAGGAAGTTGAAAGTGGATTGTTTTAGGCGAGGTCTCCTTCCCTTGGGGGGAAAGCAGGAGTTCTTTCTGAAGCAGATCACCTCACTAATGCTGGTGTGGAAATCCCAGGCTGACTGGCTTCAAATTCCACTCCTGGGAGGCTGACACTGCAGTGTAGTCAGTCAGGAAGTCTCGGTGGGGCTTAGCAAAAGTGACTCCATTTTGGATCTGCTGTTTCTTTTTAGCCTTCCCTTAGATGAGTTCCATAACAACAGCAGAGCGTAGACTCATTCATGTACACTAATGAGGCATACCCATAAATTTCCAGAAGTAACAACGGGAGAGATTTTTGTCTGAGACCATGGGTGAAGGAGCAGTTGATCTGTGACATTTGAACTGTTGATGTTGATGTCATTTGTAACTGTGGGCTGGTGGGTCCTGAGGAAATTGGAGTTGTAAGTAAAAAACATATGCTGGAACAGAATAGTACGCAGACAGGATGTTGACTTTCTCTAAGGAACTCCAAGCAGCTTCCCAGGTCAAGTTAAGACTCGAAGGAGAAATGGGAGTTCGCCGGTGTCAGGCAATAGGTAGGACTAGAAGGGCAAGGAGTTGTCTGTGCCGTGGGTGACAACATCAAAGAGCATAGCCTGGTACAGTAAAGCTCAAGGTGAAAATTGTCTTAAATGAGACCGTGGAGGATGGGCTCATGAATGACTTCTATTTGTTGGAATTCTTTTGAAGCCTGGAATGTATTTCTTCATGGGAGAATTTAAATTAGCATCTGCCAGGCTTCTGCGAATTCTACTAATGGAAGGTCTCTCTAACTTAAATTTTCACTTTAAGGTCTTTAATACTACGAAGACAATAAGAATTTGGCCCAAGGCCTGGCTTTCAGCTCTAACATCTTTTTTTTTTTTTTTTGAGATTTTATTTTTAAGTAAACTCTACCTCCAACATAGGGCTCAAATCTATAACCTTGAGATGGAGAGTCACACGCTCTACTGACTGAGCAACAGGGTGGCCCTCAGTTTGAAATTACTTGTCAGTGATTTCCTCCCTTTGCTCAGCACTGACATTTCATTTTTTATTGACTTCTGTAGTCCTCTTGAGCCAGTGGTGGAAATTTTTTAGTGAAGAAGTTTATCCAGATACCTAGGTCACCAAATTATCAGAAACAGAATGAAAACCATCTTTCTGATGAAAGAGGCTAGCATTTTATTTATCGGCATCTTACCTATTAAGAAAACTATTTCCAGATTTCTGCGCTTTATAAAATTTGAGGAAAGGGAAGAACATGAAAATGGCTAGTCCACAGAGAGCTAAGACTTTCCCAAACATCTTTTATCTCCTTATTGCCTTTCTTATCGCCAGTGGACTTTGAATGTCAGAGCTAATTTATTCTGGTCCCAAGGTAGTGCCAAGAACAATAGTTTTGAAGACTTGGGTCCAAGG